CGTAACAACCCAATCATGTGGGTCACCATAAGGCCAATGAATGATAGCTGGAATTTTTATTATTTATTTATTGAGGGATATAATAATCAGTCATATAGACAATAATTAAAGTGAAGTAGGACTACATTCACGCTATATGTACAGAAAATAAACAGATGCAACATAAAAACTAAATAATAAACAAAAAGTGTATCGAGTAGATACAAATAAAATAACGTGGCTAGAATAACAAAAAGAACTCGAGTTCTTCTTCGGATCATTATTATCTTCAATCGAAAGAAGAAAAACAATTACTGGCATTAAACATCATTAATAATTGCTGACTAGTTTTCATTCTTATTCAGCCATTTTGTTCAATTTACGCAACTCAGATGTTGTAAAGTTGCAGTCATATAAGTGAATGAAATATATTAGTAAGCGAAATATAAAACATGTATTCATAGTTATAGCAATCTAAATAAAATATATTTATACCCGAAAACTGAATACATGCATTCATAGTTATATCAATGACCTAATGGATTACGGTTATTATTCAATGGCTGCCCAGCTCCCATGAAATTGGACCATGTGTTATCAGCGGGTGGCAGGAGGCCGCTACTTTCCGCAATCCGAAATTACAGCTCATTGTTCCCCACAACTCGATTTTCCAATTATAGCGAGGATCGATTGATTTGAGTCGTGTCAGCATTAATTAATTCCCATAGGGGCCATAGATATACATAAAGTAGTATATAAGTCATAAAAAAGGGTTAATTTATTATTTCTTTTTAGTCGATCGAAAATAATAATTTTTTCATTTTATCTGTTTGACCTTTATTCTTTTTAAACTGGTTGATTTGCCTGACCAATAGTCAAATGAACCACTATGAAAACAATAATGTTATTCATATTCCATAGGGTTGACGTGATGATCAATTTATCTCAGCAGTAGTAAATTTATTCAGACGGATACAGTACATTATCTTGGCCACATTGTGGCTTGGCCACAACAGAATTGTTTGACACAAACAGACATGTTGGAATGAAATGGAATCCTATGAACTAATGAATGAATCTAGTAAATATATTCATTAAGTTCTTTAAAAGACATTAATAATATTCGTCAGAGACATCCGACTATTACAAAAATCCATGCTTATTTAAACATTTAAAAATGTCCCATAAAAGTCGATATATTTTATAAGTACATTGAAAAGATGACCACGCGAAATAACGAGACAACAAAGGAAATACATAAGGGCTCGAATGTGTAAACATCTCGAGAAGAGCTAAGCTGCTTATTTACAAAACTGTAATTCGTCCCACAGTATTTTACAATAGTCAAACATGATTGATGATTTCAGCTAATGAGAACATACTTAGAAAATGAAAAATACGAGTACTGCTGAAGATATTTCGCCATTGGACGATGAATATAGGATAAGGTATGGTTATCTCTGAAGTTCTCGAAGTAGAGGAATGCCTCGCAAACGAAGGTTGGATGGTGTGGAACAGGACTTACTACACCTAAACGTCAGACGAGGGCTCGCCAAGGCTACGGATAAAGTAGAGTAAACCAGGATGCAATGTGTGTGAGTGATAATAATATTTAATGTACCTTATATACAGGGAGACCGGGAACTAAAAAGAAACATTTAAAGCGATGTTCGCAGACTTCAACAGGAACAAGAAATGTTCATATTAACCATAATCTGGTTCCAGCCAAAAAATGTGGAAATTTAAGTTCTTTTTTTTTTTTAAGTAAATCCCGTTTCTTGTTGAATAGGAAGCGATAACTGAAAAAATATTCTATCCAAGCAATAAACAATTCTGTGATAGTAAACTAAACAAAATATCCTGCAAATCCAAGTAGAGTTTATCTTTGTTTAAAACAGTAAAATGTGACTTTTGAGCAGTTGATTTGTTTTTAGAAAAATCATAGACCATTCCCCATTTTTTTTTTGGGGTAACGTTCCAGCTTGAGTAAAAATACCAACATTTTATGCAATTTCTCTTGTTTAAAATTATTTAACCGTATATTTATTTAGTTATTAACAGAAAAAGTGATCTTCAACTTTTTTTGTGCGTTTTCATGGCAAGCATATGGTGTTTTTTTTAAAGAAATGTCATTTTAAAATATTGAAATATTGCCTTAACATAGATCACACTTAACGTGAATCATACTGACACAATGGGATTCGCAAATTCGAGAAACGGAAGTAACTAATAATTAAAAACTAAGGTCGATCTTTGAATTAAAAAAAAATATTAATGATGTAAAACAAATAATCTTGAAAATTTAAGTAGGTAAAATTAAGTAATTTAAGTAAAAGTTAAAAAGGCCTCAAGAACTTTGCTGTCATGGGCTTCCAAAATCATCCTCAAACCACTTGCACTTAAAAAAAAAAACTACACGAACAAACCAGCTGACTACTTAAACATGGCTATTACTCGTGCTATGGGAATCAATAAAAGATGAATAAAATAATTATAAAAATTATTAATAAAAAATTAATCGAGTTGTATGTAAGCTTTCTTTCCGTGAATACAGGAGTGCCAACGTTCTGCTTGAATTGATTAATTCTAAAATCAACGTAAATCGCTTATGGATTCCATTGCGCTGAGTTTATAATAAGCAAACAGAAAATATTTTATATTATTCAATTAAAATTAGAACAAATCAACGGTATATTCAGTCAATGCTCCCACTTCACGATTGTTCACCCAGAAGTCTCAAAAGAAACAGAGCCATTTGATACAGAAGATACAAGAGATTGAGGATTTAATACTTCTGTGAGACCTGATCCTGACTGGAGGCTGTCTTTTATGGTCTTGTTCAAACAGTGTCATCATTATCACCTTGACTTCTGGAAATCTGAGAACTCTGATGAACGGTGGAGCAAAGGTACAACTGGAACGCTTAGTGTGCATTAAATAGTAGGTTTTTGTAGATATCAAATCCAAAATAATTTTTGCAAGAGTTTATGTATACGATATAGGTTGGTGCATGCTGCAATGCTTATTTTTCGCTCTATTCAGGATTGTTAAACATTGGTAAAGAACAGGTCATCAACACAATGATATAAAATACGATGGAATTCATTTACGCGTCTACCAATAGTTTGATTCTCAAAGACTATGTAAATCTGTAATAAGCAATACATTTCAATAAATATTTATTATATAAATTAAATAAGTTTTATCCCATTATATTTTTTTTAATTTTATTTTTTAAACACGATTTAAACAGATTATAACTAAAAACATAATTAAAATATTTATAATTTATAGAAATATAAACTAAAATAAACATAAAAATGACTAAAATAAAGCAAAGATCTGGCAGAATAATAATGATAATTTTTATTTATCTTTTTCTTTTATTAAATTTGTTTTCCTTTACATACATACATACATATATATATATATATATATATATATATATATATATATATATATATATATATATATATATATATATATAATATATATATATATATATATATATATATATATATATATATATATATATACAACCTTTTTTTCCTAATTTCATTTTATTTTTATTAGTATTATAACTTTTTTATTTTATATACATGTATATTTATTCACTTACGTATATATATATATTTCTTTCCAATAAACCTATGAACGAAAAATTTTAATAATAATATTTTTATGGATAAAGCGCTGATGACCTAGATGTTTTGCTCCTAAAATATCAAACAACCAACAACCTAAAATAAATTTATAACATTGTGTAAATTTGAGCTGCGATAAAATTCAAGGGATAATGGACACATCGTGGGTATATTGCAAAGAAATAATCAAGAACATTTAATAAAATTTAAACATTATATACTTTGATAAATTTTATTTTTGTGAAATAAGAACTTAATGATGATGATGTACTTAGGAATAGAAAAATCATCTTTATTCTGGGACTAGGTCCCTTGAGAATAATAATATTGTTTAAAGCAATTGACAATAAATCTTACTATGTTTTGCATTGATAAATAAGTTCGAAATTAACAGAAACATATTGTACTTAAAGATTGGATTCATCAAAAATATACTTAGAGTATTTTTGCAATAAATTGATGATTAACAAGAATGACACTATACTTTAATTTAAAAAAAAAAGGTTTATATTTACCTAAAAAAGTAAAATAACTTTATTTCTAGTGATGAGGACTGGGGTTGTGGCCAGAGTACACGTGGTGACGTATACGATGCTGTCATAGCATCTCAGTTCTACTTTATAAATATACATTTATAAAAGATAATAAAATGAATTTTAAATTAAATATCTTTATTTAGAGAGGACAAGGTCAGAGAAAAAATGGAAAGATATTTCTCGGATGGAAGTTTTGAAGCTTAATGTTTCATAATGCGCTAATATTATGAACGGTATAAACCAGACGCTGGTGGGTCATGAAGTAGTCTTGTCCGCACCACTACTTTTAAACGCTATTTATCTTTGAAAAAAAATGTATCAGAAATATTTAGTACATCTAGCGTGTCAGGGCCAAATTTTCATCGACGAATAAAAAAAAAAAATCATAATATGAATATGTGAATAAACAATGAATAAGGCCTATAAGTTTTGTCTCAACATTCATTTTATATTAATTTAATTAAAGCGGAATAGAATTTTAAAAGATAGTAATTCACTGAGAAAACTTGCTAATCCCTGATGAGTAAAAAGTTATTAAACTTCAGTTAAGAAATCAAGAAGGATTAAACTTCTTAAAAGACGATTATCCAAACGGTTCAGATGACCTAAACCTTTCTTTGTCGAATTTCGCTGAAATACATGATCCGTTTAATAATTCCATGCATTGCTTGTCCATGGAGTACTCATATTTTTTCAAGGGACATAAGTCAAGAACTGAATTCGTCGTTTGATCATTTTTCATATGTGTTGTATTTCAGAAAAACGACAGATTAATTTAAAAAATAGTAAAAATACATAGGTAATATTGTAAATTAAATTTCTGAAAAAAAAAAATGCATACCTTGTATAAATCATTTGCCAGGATCTGAAGTCTTTCAAGATAGTGAAATCCTCTAAAGCTTCGAAATCTGTAACAAAAAGAAAAAATAATTACTTACTTTTGAATCATAAAACCATAATTAATTTTTATATTCAAATAATTATTAAATGACATCCGGTTTAGTTTATAATCGTGAAACGCGAAAACTATTGGACTAAATGAAACGTGATTTTTTGCAAAATGGTTTCAAGTTAAAAATGTTTTCAATATACTACATATTTTGAGATTTTTTTAATTTACTTAATAATGTTTTTCAATGCTTAAAGTACGTTTAGAAATTCCAAAACTATGGGAAAAGTAATATTTTAACGGTTGTTTTCCTATGGTTAGTGTTTTCGTATCTTGTATTTGATGTCTTAAACTCCTGTTGGTAACAATAGAAATAAAAAAAAGTTGGGCTTAGCGCTAATTTCGCTATTAGTTAAGTTCGATAATTGTGTTTCCCATAGTTTGTGAAATTTCTAGACGTACCTTGAGGCTTGCAAAAATGATTCAATAGACATGAAAACATTAAAATAAGGTGGTTTAAAATTTCAAAGACATTTCTAATAACTCGAATGATTTTTATATTCACATTCAAAATGATACATATTGATAGAAATAATTAATTAAATAAATAGTTTCATTTACATTATATCGAAAATAATAGTTGCTTTTAATCAATAAACAAGCTCATAATATGTTATTTTCTTATGTTCTAGTTCTTGTACTTATGTTATATTTTATGTTATGTTTCCTGCTGTGTGGAAGGGAGAGAGAGGGGGTTATGTCGGCTTCTTATGTAGAAAATCTTCGAGTGGTATAGTGAATAAACACATTTACATAGACATTTTGAGAAGAAGTAAAAAATCTGGAGTAAAAAAAGATCAGTTTATCTCAGGATAATGACCAAAATCACTCTGCCATGTTAGTTAAGGAAGGACTACTTTATAACTGCCCCAAAAGTTATTAAAACTCTACCACAGTCACCAGATCTTAATGTGATAGAATACCTGTGGGCAAAATTAGAGGTCGAAATTATAAAACAAGAAATTTTTAACAAAGACTGTCTGAGTTTTTATTGAAGAAAAATAATACAATCTGCCACAATCTAGGGCATTGAGCATTATGGCTCTATGTTTAAATTCATACATTTTATATATAATTTAAAATGTAAATTGAGGGAAAAAAATAAAATAAGAAGAAAACATGTGAGTAAATATAAAAGAAGAAAAACTTGTAAAAAGGAAAAAAACAAATACGTTCAAAGAATATTAAAGAAAGAAAAAAAAGTCCTTGACACACATTCATTCCTATCTGCAATATTTACATTCAATTTAGCGAACTCTCAATCATGCCTGGCCACTCTCCAGTGAAAATCCAGGTAGATCCCAGCGCTTCTCTCCCAGCCGCATCACTGTTTAAAAGCCAGTGGAGATTGAGTAAGAGCGCTAAATACACATGCGCTCAGGACTTGAGTGGAGATGCTGGCCACTGGGATTGGTAGAAGGCTTATTGGTTCTATAGGATGAAGTGTCATTGGGAGGTTTGCCCGGTTTAAGGAAAAGGATGATTATGGAGTGTTTCCATATTAGAGGAAAGTGGGTTGTACGAAGGATACAAATGTATAGGTAAGTAAGGATAGCAAAGAAGACTTGGAAAATATCTCCTCGAAGAACAGGCTAAACCCAGAATTCACCTCAAAATTGTTCGAATCCATTGATAAAATAAAGAAGCGATAAAAAATAAAGACTTGCCTACAAGGGATTAAACTAAATTAATTGTATTATAATTTAATATGAGGTGACATCTATAATTTTAATTGTGAGGTAAAAGTATCCAGTTTGTGGTTTTTTTTTAATAACCACAGTTGAATATTTTAATGTTATTGATTTTGTGGATATTTAAATTGAGATTATAAATAAATCTATTGAATATTTTCTTATTTTATTTGTTTACAGTAACCATTTAAGTCTTTTCCTTTTCTACTGTGTGTATTAATTTCACGGTGAGCCACTGCATGTGTATGTATGTATATATGTATATGTATGTGTGTATATTTTCATAACAACTTGTCAAGGTTCAACAAATTTAAAGTATACTTAATCTTGACAATATATGTATATATATATATATATATATATATATATATATATATACATATATATATATATATATATATATATATATATATATATATATATATATATATATATACATATATTGTCAAGATTAAATATACTTTAAATTTGTTGAACCTTGACAAGTTGTTATGAAAATATATTCCAGCACGGAACCCCTGTCAGCACCAGCCAAAAAAGTCAATCGAGGTGAAAGAGGTAGGACTCAGCAAGAGTGTTCATGACAACCCTATCAAGTGTTGTCCATTAACGTTAATATGAAATGATTACATATATATATATATATATATATATATATATATATATATATATATATATATATATATATATATATATATATATATATGTGTGTGTGTGTGTGTGTGTGTGTGTGTGTGTATATGTGTGTGTGGGTGCGCGCGCGCACGCGTGTATGATATAAATAATGAACAAATAAAACATTTAAGAATGTAAAGTAGTATTTTTCTGGGTTCCTTCCCATTGTGGTATCTTAGGCAATGAAAAACTGACAAAGCTTCTAATTTAGTGAGGCAGGATGATGTACCGACCACGACTGCAATCAATTTTATCGCAATAGAAGATTGAACACACGAGGACAAAAACAAATTTATTGGAAGGTTGGGAAAAAACATGGAGAACTAAAGAGCCTAAATTATTGTAAATAAAAAGAGAGTGCAACATATAAGCACGAGGGCTATAAGCACGAGAAACCCCAGAAAAGACGAAACCACATTGTGCCGTATACAGATTGGTCCCTGGCCTGTTCACGTACAGGTCTAGAATCACCCACGTGCCAAAAGTGTGACAACATACCACAATCAGTAAAACAACTAATAATTGAGTTAACCAAAATTAGCAACGGCAATGAAGGTAGAGTCGCTACTTTGTTCAAATGCTTAGTATAAGTATTATATTTGAGTATAAAAACTTACCACCAAAGACTCTCTTACGATTAAAAATAAAAAAATCTGGTGAGCGCAACACACAAGTTTTACTTACCACTCTACTATGAATAGGAATTATTTTCTGTAATGTTGGGCAATTATAAAATTTTTGAAGTTCATTTTTAACATAGCTATAGGTTAAAGCTTATAGCTGACAAATCATTAAGACAACTAAAATAACAAAAACCCTAATCATTATATCAACTATATGCAATGAAAACTTCGTTGTTCCATCAGTTTTTTTTCAACTGACACAACCCCACTCTCTGAACTATATATATATACCTAGAGAGATTTGAAAGTAAATCTGTACATTCAACATATAAATAATTATGGATTGTACGCCTATTAGCTATTAAACTGTTATTTTCTATTGTGAAGTTTAATAAAATGAAATTACGAGATTTTCATTGCCTGCCATAGATAGGTCAAAAGTTGTCACACTAATTTTAAGTGGACAATGTGGACAAAGTAAAATTCATTAAATTTTTCACTAATTTAATTTTCTAAAGAGTTACATGACAATTTTTCGGAATAAACGGGCGTTGATACCTATTTATTTATATATAATATCAGATCTAGAATTATAAAAACTATGGCAAATGTATTTAAGGTTATAACCACATGCTTCATAAATCCATGAAATTTTTTTATATTTCACTTCTTATTTCACTCAAGTGCAATGAAATAATTTTTTAACAGTGTCATCGCCTTGATTAGGTGAATTTTAAATACTTTTTCAAGCTTAAAAAATATTTTAAAAGTTTGCATTAAGTTAGTAAATTTCCTCGAAAACGTGTGATTTTCATTAGTTTTCAAAAATTATTCATTATAGTTTTTCGTCACTCTCCTTTACCTTTTACGGCTTTCTATGGTTTTCTTCAAAATTCTCCGCTTTTCAACAACATATTATATGTATAACTCTTTGTCTAGTATTTCCGGAGATTCATTTTCGACCTAAATAAACATTTTAGCCTTTTTCTCCATTTTTCATTTATCTAATTCCTTCAAAAGTTATATTTAGTATTTTTTGGTAATCCCTAACAATGACAGATAGACAATTGTTTAAAAGAAACCAAATTAAAAGTACTTTAGAGGAAGGTATGTTGAACATTGGGCAATTAAGCCCTGTAAAGTTACATCATTGCGAATAAGACCTAAACTATATTAAAGACCACTTAATTATACAATGACAAATCGAGTTTAATCAAAATCGTTAGAGCCGTTTTTGAAAAAATTATATAAATAATGATATAAATTGGCATTTTCAGTTAGCCGATTTTATGGAAAAAACTGCAGTAACATCTCAGGTATACAACTGTTTTAAATATGTAATGTCAGTTAGGTGCGACTTTTCGTTTTTGAGCTGTTCACATACACATAGGCCATTTTTCGAGACTTAGATATTCGGACTCAATGTACCTTGACACGTGTACTTCCGTTGAGAACTCAGATTCGAAAATGATCACGATCGTAATACTTTCATTTGCTATATATTATGTATATAGGCAAGTGAAAGTAAAAAGAAAAAATAAATTGGAAAAGTTTGACCTCTTTTCAATTGTTCATGTTTCATTCAAAAGAATAATGGCTTCCCTAACAGACAGACTTCATCCGAAGATGAATACATATAATATACAGAGGGGATCTATTGTAAGCATTAATTAAATCCTCTCCACATACGAGGTTTTGTATATCTCTTTTTATTACATATTCGAAAATGAAATATACGAAAATAAAGCTGCACAAAAGAGGAACCGTATTAAAAAAGGAGATAGAAATATGAAAGAAAGGAGAATCGGGGGAGAAGGATGGGAGCGCTGTGTATTAATGGAAGAGCCCTCTTCGGGCCCACAAATTGTTCCCGGACAACACATTTCGCTGAATCAATTTTGTGGCCTCTGCCTCAGTCTGCGGCGAGTGCCCCCCCCTTTCCCATAAATTCGTTTGGGACAAGACTCATTTA